TTTTTTTTTTTTTTTTTTTTTTTTTTTTTTTTTGCTCTCAATCTATCAGGTTTTGATGAGACGAAAAAGAAATTTGTAATGGTAATACGAAACCAGAATATAAAATTCTACTGACAACCGCACAAATATTTGCTTTAGTTCTTCGATGCCATTTAGCATAATACACAGACATACAGACACACACAAACACACAAAAAAATATTAGCTTCTACTTTTTTTTTGGCATCAACATTGTCATTTTCATCTTGCTGCTCAAATAATACCAACCTGAATTCTCTGTCAATTCACTTCCCACTACCATCGTCAATAACCACAATAACCACAGTTAATTCACTGTTACCAGGACTTTTTGTTTGGATTCAATATTTGCACTCTTTTCCGCCCCTTAAAATGAATCATCTCTACTACATTACCAAAATGGAAAACCCATTTAGCAGTCAAACTCTTGCTAAATACAACTTCATCCTCAAAACCATTACTGACCAACCTTTAACTAAACAAAGTCGATTTGGAAAACATTGTTGACAAGCTTCTAAACCGAAGCAAATATGCTTGTACATAAAGGGTGAGCAGAAAACATCAAAATGTTTTACTTTATGGTCACTTCTATCATGATCTTCTTAAGGGAATAACGTCCAAAACCCAATGTTCAGAAACCTGACGACTCAGATAAAGAACTGGACAGTTAATATTTAGAAGCTAATTTCAATGCCAATGTGATTGTGAACTATAGTGCAGTGGCTACAAAGCACTTCTGTATTCCAATTACCCCGACACCCAGTAATAATCGGAAAATTGCCTTTCTTCACTCTGAGAATTCATATTCAACTATTTCTACAATAAAACTCCATTGAAAAGTCCTATTCCACTTGCATTTTCCTCCTTCTTAACCTTTTTCTCAAAGGAAACAAGGGCAGAGGCACTGAAACTCCTGTAAATTTTTAAAACATAAAAATTTTTACAGCTGCCCCTCCAAACGTCTTAAATACGGATAAATTTACATACCGCATCAGGCAAACAAGTATATGACTTAAGCATATTTACACCCTTCAAAACTACAGTTATTATCTTAATGTTTTGGTACCTTTTTCCAAATTGAAAACTTACTACCGAGAGGTCCCACAAGACCAATTATTTGTAAGTATCCGTTGCAGGTTTTAAAAGTCTGTCTTGCAGTCAACACACTTCAAAATTTTGTTTTTGCAATTCTCTCAATTCTTTCTATAAATAATACTGCCCAACTGAAGCAGACAAGTAATTTTAAATACTAAATTCCTCTGCCGAGGTACGATGTATGTTAAAAGTAATAAAATTAATAACTGGAAGCAATAAACACCAATAAGTTCCACAAATGTTTTAAAATCTTTATTAATTTCTTAACACAGAAAATAATTTGAAACAACATATTGTTCAATTCAAGCTGAAAAATATAGCTTCCCCAACAATAGTGTGACTTAGAAAAGTTTAGATACAGAAAAAAAGACTACAACACTAACACAGCACAGATGTAATAAAGTTTTGAAACAGTGCAAAAAACCTTCAATAAAAAGTTCCCAATATTCTTATCGTCCAACTATATACCCTTCGTTACATACATGTGCAGAAAAAAGCCGAATCTTTATAGCCATTAAAAGCAAGCTTGCTTTTATTTTATTTACAAATTTATCTTTATGTGAATCAAAAAAGTGCAACCAAACCGAACATCTCGATAATGAAGCGGCGAAGGTGCTTTACAATCTAACGCCACACAACATAAAAATTATGGCCAGTAAACACTGCTTCTTCTAAATCTACATGGTAAAAAAGAAAGCCAAATTCCAATCAAAAAATATACAAGTGAAATTTTTCACAAAATGAATAAAAAAATCAAACTACAACGAGGAACCACGAGCAATTAATGTTCAAAGCTTAAAGCCGATAATTTTATCAACAGTAATCTAGAAAAATCCAAGCGACGCCTCACTAGCTGAAAAGCCTTAACTTACTCCTAAAAACATAAATTAAATTTTTGTACCCATCGTAGTGAATCTTCTGTACTACTGGTTTCCATGTATTCGCAACCAATATCCCAACTTCCACATTCTTTCAATATTCGAAATACATAATCATAATTGATCTCTCCATCAGTATCAGGTTCATGACGTTCTGGAACTTGGGCTACTTGGATGTGGCCTGGAAAGCAAAGAACTTGAATAAAACGACTTGTTACCGATAACATCTTCATGGAAAAAATTATTTTAGTTAAAAGAAATTCAAAAATAAAAATAGAAAAATATAGTATCAATTTAGTGCCACTGCTACTGCAGTTTTCTTTTGATTGATTAAGATGCTAGCAGCTATACCTATTCGTTCACGAAGAGTTTTTATTGTGTAGCCTAAGTTTCCGCATATTTGCTGGGCGTGAAAAACGTCCTTAAAAGTTGTATAGACCCTGTCAATCATTATATGACTTAAAGCTATACACAATTTAATTGCAACCTTTGGCACAATTTTAAAAATAAATACCAGTAATCTTACCAGCATAATCTTCAAATTCGGCTTGTTTATCTCTTCGATGATTGCTACAGCTGCAAAATATACAGCTAACAGTTTCGATGAAAAAAAATGTAAAACTTTTTTAGCGTCGGAAAAGACAACAATAACACAATGGTCGAAAACCTTAAATACAGTATCTCACCAAAAAAATAATATTTATAAAAAAAAATATTTTGCGCAAGACGTATCCAAATGAAAATCATTTGAAAAACTCTTCTGCTGCGTCAGCAGATGCTCTAAATGTGGTAATATCCCAGAGACAAAACAAACTTCCATTACTGCAGCTTACTAAGTATCCCTAAACTAAAAGAAAAAAGCTGCATAAAATCAATTGTGATAATACTGGTTAGACAACTTACCATCATCGTAATTGTGCAAAAAGTATCCTGGCATAGTCACAGGGTTGATTGGCTCTATAAGACATAGTATGCCGTCCTGAAAGCGACTCATAAAATGCAATGAAAACAGGTAAATGGAAAAAACCTATAAATGAAATTTGCTTTGATGATAATCAAGAAATACGACCCAAAAATCTATAAATAGAATTACAGCAAATAGGCCAAAAAAAGAAAAAAGTAGATACAAAAAAGTGTAAGACTTAAGCTTCATACACATTTGTGGCAACAAAAAGCCGCAGTTTATTAATAAATTTACTTCTCAAGAGATTTGTAGACCTCTTTAGGTGTCAGGGCGCAGTTTTAGTGCCCGGGTGAAACAAATAAAGTTTCTGCGCAAAGGAATGATTTACAATAGGAAGTTCTCCGAAAAGAATCAGATGTTCAGGTTTTTCAAAGTTTCTACAAAAGCAGAAGGAACTTAGTAATACTGAAACTACAATTCTTCCAAAAGTAGTTACGTTTCAAAGACAAGACGCTAAAACACCACTAGTCCTTCTGAAATCATATTTCTATTGTAAAACAAATAAAACTAAACTACCTTAATGCTAATGCAGCAGCCAACTTGCCTTTTAAAAAAATCAACAAAAACCGAAAGCAAAAGAAAATAAGTGTGTACCGTTTGCGCATTTATGCTATAAAATAGTTGCATAGGTCAAAAAAGCATCAGGGCGATGGAAGTGTCAGGCATAAATCCCTACCATCGGCAACATTAAACAGATGGTTTATATAAAACTCAAATATGAGTCAAAATTTCTGACGTTATAATAACCACAAAAAGTAGTAATAAAAACATTCTTCTAACGGCATTAAAAAAGCTCGTTAACCTTTTTGTCATAAAAACCGAAAAGAATTGAATCAAACGCATCTAGAACTTCTAAAGTCTGCGAAAAAGAAAGTTATAAAGAATCAAAACAAAAAATCGAACAGATAAATAAACACGTTCACTACCAATCACATAAATCACAGTTGGTTTAACATACTGATACTAAACAGATATCACTTCTTAAGTTGGAAAAACTTATGAAAAAATCAAAAAAAAATTTTTGAAGAGCTTTCATGCAAAAGTCATTCCTGCTTGTTCATTCTCAATCCTCCTCATTCTCACTCTCTGAACAACCCAATTTTGCAAAAATTTCATCTAAAAATA